TTTTTTTTTTTTTTTTTTGGGATGAGATACGAAGGTTTCATTCAAAAGGCCAAAGCCAGAAAAGACAACCTTGGGGTTAAAGTGACAAGGCAGAAAAGACGTAGTTATCTGTATAGCGAGTTTCTCCTTTTTTGAACTTTTGACCCAAATTCTTATAACTTACAAGATATTGCTAAGAATGAAAATAAATTCTCTGAAAATAAATCATTCTACCTAAAATAAATCTGTTTTGTAGGTCCTGCCCTTGTTTTTGAAGGGGAAGAAGCGATGATTGCAGCTATAACAGAGGACCCTTCGAGTTTTAAGGTACTGATGACTTTATCCCTATATCTTAGCCTAATAATCTAATTGATATCTGCATGCAATTCTTAGTTACAGGTTGCAAATTCCACATGCTACATAAGTTCATTTTAAATAATTACATACTAGTACTAATGATAGGTTATATAAATCTATGGTTTTTATACCCATTTGATTAGACCATCCAAATATAAACTTTAGGCTCCTTGGTTTCAGGTTTTTATCCCTGAAACCAAGGAGCCTAAAGTTGAACAAGTACTCCATGCACATTTAAATACATAACACACATGCACATATACGTACATACGTACTCGTGTTTTTTTTTGGTATGTTGTAATTGAAATCAAATTGTTTAATTACATAGGGACGAACAGTGATCATTAGGGGCGAAGGCCCTAAAGGGGGACCAGGTATGCCGGAAATGTTAACACCAACTAGTGCAATAATGGGTGCAGGTCTGGGGAAGGTATGGTGTTTGAACTCTAAACTCATGTTAGATTTTTGTTGATTTGTAAAGCATTGCTGTCAAAGTCACGTGTTGGTTACGAAGACGATGACATCCCCTTTAAAGTCAAATTCATCTTTACACTGCCATTGACATCTACAGGAAGTGGCATTGCTTACCGATGGTAGGTTCTCTGGAGGTTCACATGGCTTCGTCGTCGGTCACATATGCCCCGAAGCAGTGGTGTGTTTTGTTTCTCTCTTTTGTTGAATTCTTGAACTTCATTCAAACAGTAGAAGCTTAGTGAGAGTTCAGAGGAAGAAATCTTCTTCCTCCTGTCCTTAGGCTTAGACTAAGAATGCGATCTCTCTTCTTCCTCCTGTCCTTATGCCTTCTCTCTGATCAAACAATGATTAAGTGCTTCTTCTGTATCCATTTTCCAGGAAGGTGGTCCAATCGGGTTGGTTCAAAATGGCGATATCATCAATGTCGATGTCCAGAATCGGAGAATCGACGTTCAATTATCCGATCAAGAGATGGAAGAACGAAGAAAGAACTGGATTCGACCTGCATACAAGGCTACCAGAGGCGTTCTCCACAAGGTTCGTGTCTTACCATCTCTACGATTCTCGTCTAAAACTGCTTCTCCTTATTTTTTATAAAAGAAAACAAAACTTCAATCGAAATTGTTCTTCGTTTTCAGTACATCAAGAACGTGCAAGCAGCATCGAGAGGGTGTGTGACAGACGAGTAGGACGACGAACCTTATGGCTGCAGTTAGAGATCTTTCTCTAGTTCACATTTAAGAGTTATACCCCAAATCCAGTCCCTGAGACCACATCCATTTTTTTTCTCTCATTGTTCTCTTCACATCCAGTCCAGTTTTTTTTTTTTTTTCTTTCCCAGATTTCTAAGACATCCACTTATTGTTTTCTTCACCATTTTGTTGCAAGTCATTTAAAATTATTTCTTCAAAAAAAAAAAAAAAAAAAGCTTATCCATTTAATTTTATAATATTAATTACATTTTTATCTACAAGTACAATTTTGATCATTTTGTATGTACATGCAATGAAATTTATGAATTTTTCAAGCGATAACTTTACAGTTTATGTTTAATTTAGTAACGTTATATTTCTGTATTATACGTGGATTAATTAACGGATTAGAGATCAGATTTATTTATTAATCATAAAGGCAAATTGTAAAGTTGAAATTTGAGCATAATTTTGAGAAATCTGTGCATACATTCGTTATTTTTAGGAAGGTCTATGTTTCATAGGACTGTCATTGGCTCGTAGGTGCTGACATAAATTAGAGTTCAAGCTCTTTTAGAGTGGTATTTATGAAATTGTCTATTTGAGACTGTCAGTGGCTTGTAGGTGCTGACACAAATTAGAGTTCGAGCTCTTCTAGAGTGGTATTTTGTTGATGGCTTGAGATTCTTCGCTCTCCAACTAATTCAATGGATAGTCACTGGCTCGTAGGTGCTGACACATATTAAAGTTCGAGCTCTTCTAGAGTGGCACCTCATTGATGGTTCAAGGGGGCCTTCTTCGCCCTCCAACTAAATTGCGCGAGAAAGGCTTTAAGCCAATTCGAGAGATGGTAAAGTTTCATAGGATCATTTTGTCTGTATTTTCACAAACATGTTTATTCCACCGAGGGTCTGTTGCAACAAATTTAAAATTATATTAAATTATTGGAATTTAAAAAATATTAGCGTTGCAAAAAAAGTTTAGGAATTTTTTTTTTTTTTTTTTTAAACAACTTGTTTGCAATTAATTTTTATTAAAAATGCATATTTACATGTATGAAAATATAGCGACGGAAATTTGGACCGAAATGAAATGAAAGCCAGAAGTGTTTTAACTGAGCTAAGGTTGCTTTTTTGGACCTCAATATTATCTGGGCCCATATTCAAATATCCGATGCGACCCGACCCGGTTCGCACCAGGGAGCACACAGACGGTGGGTTTACAGAAGGGAAGAAAGAGAATGGAGGTGATTGGATGGCCTCACCATCGTCTTCTCCGTCGTACCTGAATTCAACCCGTGGCCTTCTCGCTTGCTTGGATTTGAACGAGAAACACGCCGAGGTTGATCATTTATTTTGTTTGAGCATTGCATTTTTAGGTTTATTTTGTGAGAGGTTTCTTTTGTGTCGTTTTTTGTTTCTCCTTACATTAACGTATGTTCTGAAAATTATTTACAATGTATTCGATTCGCCCTTTAGATTATCAGAACGTTTAGTTTTATAATTATTTTGGCTCCGATTAAGTTCAAGGTCTTGCCGAATCAGTTGGTTCTTGAGAAGCGATTAGACCATTACACACATGGAAAGAGCTGGTGTACTTGTAGGATGTTGTTGTCTACCCATTGTGCATTACGAAACATGCTTTCATTGTATGATTTCTTTCATTATATGCATTTGAATTCTCGTAGTTGAATGAAAATCGATTTCTTCTGTGCATTTTGTGGTCGGTTTTATCTGCCATAGGAAAAAGGAGTAGGAGATGGATGGATTTCTTGTGTTGATGCTGGATATTTGCCTATTATTACGATTTTTTTTTTTTTTTTTGGGGGGGGGGGGGGGGGCTAAACGGTAAAAAAAATCCCGTGCTCTAGACAATGTGTTGATGCTGGATATTTGCATATCTTGTTAATGTATGTAAAATTTTTTCTAGTCTTCTCTTGGTTCATGAATTTCATTTGAATTCTTCCTGTTGTCTTTTTTTTTGTTAATAAATCCAGATTTTAGTGTTTTATTTGGACAATCTACCACTGACTGTCAACTCGGTTTCACCGCTCATATTTCCTTTTTCTCTGTTAATATTCACTTAGTTACCATTTAATTCCCAATTGTCCCTTTTTGAGTGTCCTAGTTGGGTGGTACTATAATCTACTGGGAGTTGATCTTTTACCCTCAATGCAGAGTATGAAGGAGATGGAGACTGAATGGATCATGGATGTTCCCGATACACCTGATCGGTTAGCTGCCAGACAAAGTAATGGTGGACATTTTGTTCAAACTGAGACTGATTCATCTTTATCTAATCGTTTAAGAAACCCTGATTTCATGACAGAAAAGGGGATGAATGGCATGAAGGGCCTGGGGGTGCTTGTCAGTGAAAATGTGGATGAGTTGAGATTAGATAGTAGTTCCAAAAATATTCCTGGTGAGAATTTCAAGGGTCATAGAAACACCATTGTTCTTTCACCGGGAGATGATTCAGCATTGAAAAATAATCTGTTACTTAGAAAAGGTGGAAGGGAAAAATATTCATATCAGGGGCCGAAACGTTTTATTTGCCCTCGTCGCTTGGATAAAGGGATAACTATATCTGTTGACTCTCCTTCCAAACCACCACCTTGTCAAGAAAATACCACCAGTCCACAAATAAGAGAACATGATCTTAAGTATAATCCTCAAACGTTTAATCGTAATGTGTCTAAGGACTGTAAGATTGAAAACACATCAAATGAACAGTCTGCACGTTACATACCAATTTCTCCAAAGAAACCCAACATGAACATTAAAGGGAAGGAAAAGGTTGTTGAGGAATCATTCCAAGATGTTGGTTTATCCATGATTCATAGAAAGGGAGTTGAAAAATCCAATAACACTAATACTCGACATGAGAAGCAAGTTTTGGGTCATCGTCAGTTTGCTAGCTCCCCTAGAGCTACTGGGCACAAGAGGTTGGTACGGAATGGTTGTATCTCACCTCATAATGTTACAATAAGAGCAAAGAATTTATCTGAGCAGTGTGAAAAGAGTTCTAGAGCTGTTGATGAGAACAATTTGAGGAACATGCCATCAAACAGTCCATCTTGTCCGATAGATATAAATGATATAGTTGCTGAAGACAATCGTAGTAGCAAAGATAAGGGAAAGGGGATTATGCGTCAGCCTTCTGTATCACATGATAATGATTATGTCAGAGTTATTTCTGCTTCTAGCAGGTAACGAAAGATCATCCTCATGCTATGCTTTTGCAAAGATTGAAAGTTTTTAGTCAGTGTTGACATAATGCTGAACTCGTGTTTTGCTGCTTATATTCTGTTGTTGTTGGCTGCCTATGAGGTATTGGCAACTGAAATTTTCCTCTTGTGAGTTTATTTATATTTTTGCATGCTCTTGCTCATGCTTGGTGGTTCTTTTGAGGTTCTCATACGTTTTTAGCTATTAAAATTCTTTATCGATGCTTAACGCTTAACTTTCTTTCGTAATCCTCATACTTTCTTCTCTGTGGAACCCCTTCCCTCTATTGAAAAGGGTGAACCTAGGAGGGGAATCTTTGTTTTATCATTGACCTTAGGATGTTAGACAGGTTATTTATCTTACAAATATTGCCAATTGTTTTTAAAACTTCCTATGTCCTTTAAACAACCTGACAGTTGCATCACAAAATAATTTTGTGGACACCTTGAATCAAGCTATTTTCAATGTTAGTATTTTATAGTATCCCGACGTCTTCCATAGAATTCTTGTTAAGCTACTCACTTTCTCAAAGTTGTTGCATGTTTTCTTTGGGTGTTCTTCATTTTCATTTGGCCTGTGGAAAGTTCTTAGTTCCACTGAACCAGTGATTTTGAATCATATAGATTTGACTCTTTGCTACAATGTACACTGTAGTGCAATAGTTCGGCATTGGTAGATCATGCTGGTCTATTCCATGTTTCCATGCAAGAGACTACTTGTCATGAATGTTTGGTTGACACTACTTTATGACCACTCTTGCAGGTATAGAAAACTGCATGGTAATTGTTTTATTGGATTTACAACAACTGAATTTTGTTGGAAATTGAACCTTATCTGAATATCGGTTAAAATGTAACAACATTTAACAACTTCAGTTATTGATGTCAACACACACTAAAGCTCAGCTTCAATTTTTCTTGTATGGTTGCAGCCTTCAAAAGAAATTTGTTCTGATATCTTATTTGCTTTCAGTGACACGGAAAAGGCTGTTGGAGCTAATCCAGCCCGAACGTCCAGATTAGGTACATCTGAATGTTTTGAAGAAGTAGGTGTTTGGAGAAGAACACATAATCATTCAAGGAAAGGGATTGCCTTGTCTAATCCATCTGGGAGTTCTTTTAAGAAGATAGATAACGTTGGAAGGTTTTCTAATGGAAAAACTGAAATTTTCATGGAGAGACAAATCCCTAGTGGGCAAGAACATGTAGCAGAAACTGATTGTGCAGGAAATGGTGATACATCTCAAAGGGCTTCCAGCATTGTACCCAAAATAGAACAAACTATTGTACCGATGCATGTTGAAAGCAAACTAAACAAAAAACAAAGGAAACATGGATCAACTTCACAAATTAATACTTCATGCCCCATTCCAGATGTCGTGTACCTTGGTACGTCTGAGGAGTCTTCAAACTCAAGGTCAACTAGACTCCAGAGTCGAAGAATTCGTGATAGTTTGAATGAAGTTATTGAGGTTGATGAGTTGTCACCTGAAATGAGACACCCTGTCTCCCAGAATGTTGGCAGCTTAAATGATAACACCTCAGATGCTAGGGCAAGACAACTTGAAGCTGATGAGATGTTGGCTCGTGAACTTCAGGAGCAACTATATCAGGAGATCCCTATTGGAGGAGAAGAGGTGGTTAATTCTTATTTAAGCCGTGCTTATCCATGCTTAATCAGTAACTTACTAATAAGGTATTCTTAATTTTCATAAGTTTTATGTTTCTGCTGGCAGATTGATGAACATTTAGCTATGGCACTGCAGCAGGTGGAGCATGGACATTTTGCACCCTCCCGCCAGACTTACAGTGTATTATATCCTTTTGACTGTCTTTTTTTTTTCTTCCTGTGATTGCAACATCTTTGGTCTTTGGAAACATTGCCGTCTTAAATTATTCAATTCTTCAATTTGATATTACAGAGATTATGTTTGCAAATTCATTTTGGATGTGTAATCACCTATGCAAGTGAAATTCTTTCTGTCTCCCTCTCTACTTCTTTTCCTTTAAAGTTGAAAACTTATTACCCATGTTTCCCCACAATGTTAATCTATGTCCACAAAGCTAGGGTTAGAATGTCATTGGCATAGCTTTGGCTAATTTCTGTCGAGCATTCTCCTACATGCATTTTTTTCGTAGATTTGGTGGAAAGATGGCTAACATGTTTTCCTAAAATAGTTTGATCCTTAGTTAATTATCTTTGTTTTTTCAAATTTACAATGTGCCTGGTAAAAGATATTCTTGAATTCGTATCCATCTTCTATCTAAAAGTTGATTGGTTCCTTTGTTCAGAGTCAGAGGGGCTCACTGGTAGCACAGGCGAATAGACGAACTCGATCTCAATCTTCACAAAACTCTTCTAATATAACACGGACTCGAGTAACCCACTCTACACGTATGGCACAGATGAGGAATCAATTTTTTGGTGGCTCTCATAGAGTGTCAACTAGACAAAGGAATGTTAATTTTCCTGTGCATATGGATTTGGATATGGTAATTGCTCGATTCATTCTTTGGTGCTAGGTTAACCAGCTACTTTTTTTTCTGTTATATGGACAAGATATATGAAATAGATTCTTGATGGTATGATGACTGTATCTCGCCTATGATTGTTTGTAATGAGATAGTTTATCCTTTACCATATCTAAACCCTGGTAACTTTCTTTTAATACAGAGACTTGATATATTGGAAGCTCTGGAGGCTGCGGTTGGAGAAATGGAAGATGCAAGAATGAATAGGGACATCTTGCACAGCCGGCGTGATTTCAACGAGTAAGATTTCAACCTATTTGAAAACAATTTATAACTTCAGCTAATGTTTTCAGTTAATTGCAAACTTGTTGCAAGATAATAATAGTGACACTGTTAAATCATGGTATTAAGTAGGAGGTTCTGTGTTCGAATCTTCTAATATCATTTCTTCCTCATTAACATTGTTTTCCACTTGTTGGGTCTTTTACAACTGTTTAAGGTCACAAGTGAGGGAATGTTGAAGTATTGATAAAAAAATTTTATCCTAACCCATCAACTTAAGCTTTTGGGTTAGATTGGTGATTTAAAAGACATGATCGTTTAAGCACTTAATTTATTATATCATGGAGAAAGGATTGACATTTTATTTCTCGTTTCAGTTAAATAAAGAGTATGCTTGGATAGAGACTGAAATCTTAGTCATCAGGTGATAAAATGAGAGAATGAAAACTTAAAGCAATTGGCCTGGGTCTGAGTAGTGAAACTATATACATGTGGAACTGATTCTCAAATATGAAACTTTAGCTATTGGCAATAATGGGCCGAGGTAAAAGATTTTAAGTCAAAGGTGGAAGTGGAAGGTCATGTCTGAACTAATGCGAAGTTGTATAAATTTAGGCGACCCATTAATTTTGATTACAAATGATCTGGAAATAAGTTCAAACTTAGGTTGTTTGTTGGATAAGAAACCCCTTTGTTCAGTTGTTTTAGATATGTGACATTCTTTTTCTTCATTCTTTCTATCAGGAACGATTATGAAATGCTGCTATCCCTTGACGAGAACAATCACCGCCATGCTGGTGCATCGACTAACCGGATTAATAGTTTGCCACAATCTACAGTACAGGTAGGTGGTGGTTCTGCATCCTGGTTTCAGTTGTATTTTCTTTTGTTGATCAAAAACTCATTCTCCGGACCACCAGATCTGCTGGTTTAGCCTGCCCTTGACCATTTGTCTCCTGTCCTTCTCAGACTGACAGCATGGAAGACCCTTGTGCTATTTGTCTCGATACGCCAGCCATCGGAGATGTCATTCGCCATCTACCTTGCTTACACAAATTTCATAAAGATGTATGCATGCTTTAATAAAGAAGCACCGTTCTCCATTTCAAGCCATAATCACTAACCTCTTCTCTTTCTGTTTGCTGTTTCAGTGTATTGATCCATGGCTACAGAGGCGAACGTCATGCCCGGTTTGTAAGTCGTCAATCACCTGATATTAACGGCGATTTCAGGCCTATTACAAATCAGCACACACACTCATACTCTTTTGTGGAACCAAGGTAAATCAGATCTATTATTTTCATTTTATTTTCTACATTTTGGATGAGAATGTAACAGATGTTTCCATACTGTGGAGACGAGGCCTAAGTTGGGTTTTCTTTTTGCTGCACATTGTTAAGCAATGTTAGAAAAGTCCTAAAGACTTTTTCCTGGACGACGATGGTCGTCATAAAATGATGCTCTCGTCGTGTATTTTCTCTAATTTTCCCTTCGTCTCGTCGTATAGCCTGTTAGAATATTTTGTGCTTGAACTCTCGGTCGGAAGCGTAAGACTTCAAAGGTGCAATTCTCCATTGGGGAACGAAGAAAGCTTCCCAGCCTGAGCCTGAATGAGGAGTGGGCATGGTGAAGATTCATAGTATGTATTGACAGGTTCTTATACTTTATAAGTTAAGGCATTGCCATTGAGCAGGAAAAGCTAATTATTATACCAAACCTGTGAAATATATTGGTGGCCATATAGTTTAGTTGCTTGGGCTGCACAAAATTTAACAGGAAGACTATGCATAGTGCAATTAACCATTCATGTAAAACTGCAACTTTTACCATCATCTCCCTAGTAAACTTTATTCGGAATGAATGTACTACCATGGTTTATATCGGTTTTGTTTTTGAAATTTATGCTTGTTTTCTTTCCCCTCTATTAAAGAAACACTGTTTAGGTGGAAGGGAGGATTTAAACAATGATATGTATTTTATGTCAGCTGAATTATGCTCGTATTTGAAACCAAATAGATAGTTAGCCTCTGTACTTATATAATTCTCAATTCTATCCATTCGTAGTTGGAAATTTAAATTTTTTCATCATGATCCGATTAGTTTTCGCACAAAGTTTACCCAAATTTTAAATATTCATTAAGCGTAATTTGTAACGATCATTTGTGTCAAATTCACTTTTTTACCTAATAAATAGCTTGTTATTCATTTAGTTCCAAGAACATTTTATGGTATATAATTAAAACAATACCATATACACTATTTAAAATAAAAAATCTTTTTATAACGTATTTTGAGTAACTTTGAAAAACAATACTTTTTAAACACAATTTATATTTTATACACCTTGGAAAAAATAAAAATTATTGAATGATAACCAGTAAGTGTTTTTGTATTAAAAGAAAATAGTACTTTTGAAAATTTAAAGAATATATAATTAAGAGTAAAATACAAAAATAATTGTTTAAAGTATTAAAGTGTGAGTTTTAAACACATTGAAACTGAAAATACATTTTTCAAAAGTCAGTTTAATTCATGAATTTTAAGAGATAAGTTTGAAAATATTTATGAAAACGAAAAAGGAAGCGGAAAAGGAAAACGCTTAAGCGGACATATAAAAGGAAATATTCTACAATTTTTTCCCTCACAATTGTCAGACCTTCCAGTATTTTACTCCGACGATTCAAAAAAGTTTTTGGGGGAAAAGGATTCCAAATTGCGTTCAAATTCCTTCGAAGAACAGAAGAATGAGTCGAAAACTCCGCGTAATTTGCAACGATCCGGATGGAACCGATTCATCTTCCAGCGAAAACGAAAGAGACGAAGCAAAGTCTTCGAAATCGAAACGCATAGTGCGAGAAATCCACTTTCCCGTCTTTCCTTCTCGCTCCTCGAAATCAATTGATGATGAAGCCTCTCAGAGCTCTGCCCGAGGAGGTAGTAATGGCGGAAAGGCTCATCAGCGACGGAATATTAGGGTTTTGTCGAAAACCCTACCGACCGGGAGAACGGCTTGCCGATACAGAGGCGTGAGGCAGAGAAAGTGGGGGAAATGGGCTGCCGAAATTCGAGACCCTTTCAAAAGAGCTCGAATTTGGCTCGGGACTTATAATACTGCTGAAGAGGCTTCTAGGGCTTACGAATCGAAGCGGCTCGAGTTCCAAGCTGCCATGGCTGCCGCCCCCAAAGCTCCGCCGCGGTTCAAAGCTTCTCATCTACTAGGTTTTTGAACGTTGGATCTGCGCGCCGTGCGGCGGAGTTGACGGTGAGGGAAGGGAGGGAGAGGAACCGGCGACGGGAAGGGGTGAATTTCTTGTCCTTTTTTGAATGCCATGTCAGCTTTCTTTTTTACCAAGTTATTATGCCATGTCAACTTGTTGTCAAGCTGAAACTTGCCACATCAGCTTGAGATTCCAATGTAATTTCTTCTTTGTTTGAAATTCAATGACGTGGAAGGAATTTGAATGGAAAATTTACAATACCATTAGATAATAAATTAATTTCTTTTCCTTTTATGAGTCTCCAAATTTTTTGAAATTCAAATTATTGCATGACTTAGAAGATACGACATCAAACTATTTAGAACTCGGGGAATCAAACGATTCTTAAGACAAACTAGTTTCCAAGCACTTAGTTATAAAACACACGAGCCCGATCCTCCATCCTAACCTCGACCCAATAACTACACAACCAACACCAAGAGCTATTTGACATAAAGAAGTCGTCTACAATACCTATTGTATCATAACGTTGGAGGATAAGGCCACTTGGTAGCTACGTATCAAACCAGGTTGAACGTTTATGATTATCACCAAACAGAGCGTTTACAACCATCATCAAACAAGAGTGTTTACGATTACCACCACTTGACATACCTATCAACGAACATAATCTATCTCAACACATATCAACGAACATAATTTATCTCAACATCAAAGATACAACTAAAGCATTCAATCTAGATCATGAACAACAAAAGAAGGATAAAAACACTAGTCTAATATAAGAACAAACTGAATAATCATAATTTACTTGCATACGAAAGAGTTATGATAAACCAGGTTCTCATAAGAGCTATGATTTAAGCTTAAAAAAGACTTACCATTCGAGTACGTAAGTAGAAAGTGAATCTACTAAAACTTAAAAAAACTCGGTACATTGAGAGAAGTGTTAGTTACATTGTATCATCTAAAACTAACTCGAAAACAAAACTTCAAGCCCTTACTAGCACGGGTAACCTGACCCAAAAAAATGAAAATAACGTACGATATTTTATATAAAAGATAACTCGCCTTTAAACCTTCGTTAGATTATCAATAAAACCCCAAAAAACACCCTTGAAGAAAGCCATCATTCAACATTTACTCTGAAGGAGGACTACACAAACTCAACTTCAACTCTTAAACTTATTACATACAATACCAATCGCTAAAACAATTTGATAAGATAAAATCCCTAGTGAACATAATCATGTCTCACGATGAAATTTCACAGCTCTCACGACATTTTGAACCCAACAACAATTTGAACCCAACAACAATTGAATGAGACTAATGAAACAAGATAGCTTCGAGTTACATCAGTTTTAGGATCATAAACATCCAAAAATCCATTCAATCTGTTGAATTCAAACCAAATGACTACTTGTTTTAGGATCAAGTAGTTCGGACGACACTCCATAACAAAGGACTAACTTCAAACCTTTATGGAAACAAATCAAAAGACAATAGAATTAATCCAAAATGGAAACAAAGATGGTGGAAAGCAAACAGATAATCAAATCTCCATAAAACTGTATCCTTCTTATCGATTTCCTTGTCTCACACTATTGAGTATTGAAACTTGTTCTAACGAGCATCCTTAGACAGAAGATTTATTCCTTCAACTTTCTTAGCATTGCAAAGCTCATCAACACAATCACCCCTCTCGAACACAGCTGCAGCTCCCATTCCAGTGCCTGCAATTTTGCAGTTTCAAGAATTAATCATCCATCGCGTCGTCGTCATCGGACTGTAACTCCACAATGGTAAAGAGGAGGGAGAGGGAGAGGGAGAGAGAGTACCTATGCACATTGATATCACTCCAAAACGACAGTCTTTGCCACGGCGTTTCATCTCATGCAACAATGTAGCGACGCAGCGAGCGCCTACAGAAGAAGATAGAAAGATTTTAAGGTGAGATCTGTGACAATCTAATGCTAAATCTCCCTGCCATGTAACCGTTATCATTTGCTAATGATTTAATCGTCGTTAAAGAACACAAAGAAGAAACGAATCTATAACTCATCAGGATCTTAAATTTTTAGGTGTTGGTTAGGTGTTGGCTAATAGAGATTCGTGTCAGAAACATACCTGTTGTACCCAGTGGATGTCCAATGGCAATTGCTCCGCCATTAACATTGATCTTTTCTGGATCAAGCCCCAGCTTGTTACGACAATACACAAATTGGGATGCAAATGCCTGTAGGTTAGGTTGTGCGTCAGTCCAAGCCAACATGTGCCTAAAAGGTCCAAACTTCAAGCCTCAATTTGTGATAGAAAAATATGGTACCTCATTTATCTCAAAAAGATCGATATCATTCAGTTCAAGCCCAGCAGCCTTGACAGCGGCTGGAATTGCAACAGCCGGGCCAACACCCATGATAGCAGGATCCACACCCACAGCAGTAAAAGTCCTACAAAACAAACAGCAACAAATGTTGAGACAAGAAAGTACTTCCGAAGCCCACCGCTAAACAGATATTGTCCTATTTGAACTTTCCCTTCAAGATTTTTATAACGCGTTTGTTAGGAAAAGGTTTCCACACCCTTATAAGGAAGGGTTTCGTTCCCCTCTCCAAACGATGTGGGATCTCACAATCTACCCTGCGGGGGTCTAGCGTCCTCGCCGGCACACTGCCCGTGTCTGACTCTGATACCATTTGTAATAGCCCAAGCCCATCGTTAGCAAATATTGTATTCTTTGGACTTTCTCTTCAGGGCTTCTGCTCAAGGTTTTTAAAACGCGTCTGCTAGGGAGAGGTTTCTACACCCTTATAAGAAATGTTTGGTTCCCCTGTCCAACCGACGTGGGATCTCACATTCATGCTCAAAACAGTTCTAAAATCTCAACTTTGGGAAGCCCCAAGTTAATACACAGAAGAATGAGCTTTTATGTTTGAAACTAACACTTAATCTCCTTCATCGTTTCGTGACATGGTGTATTCTGGGAGTAACTATGGCTAATGCAAAGCATGCTGTCATCACCCCATGCATAAGATAGTAAAAATAATCATGACAGTTTGGGGAGAAGTTTGCGAGTCGGGCTATGTGGATGAACAAGTCTCGAATATCTAGCGCAATCCACCATTCAACTTGTACAATTCTTTGTGATGTCAAGTATTATAGAGAAATCTCGAGATTCAAACCTGAAGACGCCGAGAATAGGGAGTCCTTTTTGCATTGCAACACTTCTCTTCATAAGGAGAACAGCTCCAGCACCATCACTCACCTGACTAGAATTGCCTACATAATACCAACACCAGAGGATCATGAGCAAAAATAGTAGAACAAGCAGAACATCTCTCTACTAATTATACCAGCAGTGGTGGTTCCATCTTTCTTAAACACTGGCTTTAACTTCCCCAGATCTGCTTGAGTTGTGTTCGGTCGAATCCCGTCATCAACAGAGATCGTAACAGTTCTCTCTTCACCAGTTTTTGGGTCAATAATCTGTTCGGAATAAAGACATCAAAACCTCAGCAACCAATTGCCTTACCTGTTGATGCAATATGTGAAAACTGCATTGTACCGAATCTTACTACTTACCTTAGTAGAAACAGGGATAATTTCATCCTTAAATTTGCCACTAGCAGTGGCAGCTGCAGCCTTCCTGTGAGACTCAACC